ACTTAATTGAAGACTTTAAGGCAACCTCTTCACACTCACGTTGCTTTTCTACAAACTGCAGTGTGACCACAGACAAGTACAAGTTTGTGTGAGTGTGATACTGCTCAAATGAGACTAGATAAAATCCAACATGCTATGTCATGTTTTGTTTTCTATAATGGAATTCAATATTCTTTCCTTGCAGTCAGTGGGAGAAACACACCTCCTAAGGAATTTTTAGGTATGTAATCTATCCAGTGCTCCTTAACTATCCTTGATATGTGTCAGTAAAATTCTGTAGGATGCTACTGTCGTTACAGCCAGCAGAAGAATGTAAGAAGAAAATATGCAAACATCAATCTTAAAACATGAATCCATTCCTTAGGCATCAGGATAGCTAATTACTATGTCAAGGATGTAAGATCAGAGCAATTGCCTATTGAGCAGAGACAAAGACTTGCCATAATTCAGCAACAACATATATAGTTGAAATAATACATAAACTCTTCAAATAGACTTGCATAAATGAAAACACAGCAGAAGCTATCTCTTTATAATAATTCATGTTAAGGCTCACCAACTACTCAACCAAACTGATGTGTTTGAGGCCACAAGATTTCTAGACAACAGGTTGTCAGAGTGAATAGGCAGCTTATAGAGGAATACGACGTTGCTGAAAGCTCATCCTTGAAATGCACGTGTTAGTCTTGACAAATTTGCAGAAGCATTTTTTTGGGCACATTGTTCATGTACGAATTATTTTTAATATTTTAAAGAAAAACAACCTATGAATTCATAAAAGCTAATTTTGACAGACACTATGTTCTTGGGGTTTTGTTTTTGGGTGTTTTTTTCAGCTATGAAAGAACACAGCTTCAGCAGTATGAACCAGAAGAACAATACAAGTCAGCTGGAAAATCAAGGTATAGTTATATCTACTTTCACAAGCAGTGAGTTTAACAGACATAGATTTCTGCAGCAAGACATTTGGTGCTGTTCATCTCACGTCCACACTGTATTTGTTTTGAGGACACAAACTCTGGACCAGCTCCAGTCTGGTCCTGTGAGCATTTGGACTGCATTAGGTATGCTGCTGGAACTTACCTTCTGGTTTATTTTCTATTTAAAAGAAACCTGGTTTGCTTCACAAGACTGCTCCATTGAATGAGTCTAAATGCTAAGCAGAGGTAACAGGAAAACAAATTTCCAAAGTGCATTAATATACTTATGTAGATATATACTCAACCAAAGGCAGAACAAACTCAGTCCCAGGCATTTATATCCAGAACATTTTGATTAAGTCTTCTTGCTCCCTCCTCACCCATATGTTCCTTACCTGTAACATATTTTAGGCTGCCAATGCAAATTTTGGTTGTTTTGTTTCCAGTCCAGTTTCCTAAATGTATGGCCAGTACGTGGAATCTATAGCAAGTAATCTCATATCAACTGCTACTATAAAGTCTTGCAATAGACATAATAAAAATAGCATTTTTTCCCTCTGATTTGTGTAAACTATTTTTAGTAGTCCTGACTTACCCTATCAGAGGTTTATTAAATAATTTAAAAACTGCAGGTACAATGTGTTACAGAACATTCATTTATAGCTGGAAGAAAACATTAAATCTTTCATGTAACTGAGAAAAAATATTCAAGAGTAAGGAAAGAATATTGAAAACAGCTACTACACATGTAATTATGGAATAAAGCATTTAATTTTGTTTTCTTCTTCACGTATAACTGTAGTAAAATGTACCTGCTCATGGCAGAGGGTTTGGAACTGGATGATTAACATCCCTTCCAAACCATTTTATGACATTGTGAATACAAAAACAACAGAAGAATTTTGAGATTATTTTTTAAATATTTCGATTTCATATACATAATAAAATAAACACTAAACACCTATGGTTTATTTTAAAATCAAACACCATTTGTGCTCCAAAAGATTCTTCAATTGTAGTCTCCAGACCCTGTGAAACTTTTTTGAACTTTGTTTATCCTTTCAATTTAGGAAGAAAATTAAGGTACATAAAAATAATAGGTATCTCCTGCATGCTAGAAAATTAGCTGGCCAGCACTACAGAGCATGCTTTTAATTTTCTGTGACCTACATAGAAAGAAACTTAACATTTCACTAAAAAAACAAAATTTGTCTAGCTGTGTCCTTCCCATTCCAGCCAATAACCACCACCAACTGTTCCACTACCACAAAGCAGGTAGCAGACACATTAGTAATCCTGCAACCAATTTTCTGTTTATTGCAATGAAGTTGTGGTTTGCCTGCAAAACCATGACATCCTTGAATTACCAATTGTTTCCAGCACAAATCCAAAACATAGCCTAATAATATGAAGAACATGAAACAGAGAATTGAACTTTTCTGTGCAAACCGATCATGCACTAGCACTCTCTCTTGTGACAGAAGACTCAGGAAGCAGGTCCCAGGGCTTTATACCTTTGCCACCAAACCCCTCATGCTTAGTAACATGTAATTGGCAGAAATTGCTCACAGCCTTCACACAAACACTGCTGGAATGGCAGTGCCACTGCACTTTGGATATTTGTTTTGGATATTGTTCAGCTGAAGTTCTCCCCGTCCCCTGAAGCTCATTCCCTAGCAAGTCCAGCCTCTAAGCAGTCCAGCTCATTTCCACCTCTAAGCTGGCAGTGCCCAGAGCAGTTGGATCCTTGCAGATTACCATGGACAGACTACACAAGCTCCAAGTGAGACACTTTTGAGCCTGCTTGTCTCAACTGTACATAGTGCTTTTAAGAGGAGTGAAAGAAAGGCTGCAAGAGCTCTCCTCACATCATAGATCATTCAGCCAAGTTGTTTTAAGGTGGTCCTTTCATGTCCTTTCTGTAACTACACCTAAATACACACAGATAAGTTACAGTAGCTGTTAGCAGCTTTGGGTTTGAGGAGATTTTAATAATAGTTGGATTAAACTTAGTTCTGTTTCTCCAGGTTTTCAGAAGTGGCAATGTAGCTAAAGTTGGGAAGTGCATAAAGTACATCAAGATAACACTGTCATTAACATTTTGTTGCCAGTGGAACTGACTTTGTTATTTACTGCAAAGTAAATATATCTCTGCGGGACAAATCTTTCCAGTTTTCAAACAACAAACTTTATCTAGCCTGTAGTCAATTCCACATTGCACAAGATTTGCACAAGAGTCACAGAAACTCTGAATTCCAGGCTTCATGTTAAATTGGTGAGACTACTGCTTAGGAAAACACTTCACTAAAGGATGAGGAAATTTAATGAAGGCATCACCAAGAAGCACTAAACCATCCTACACCTTTCATTTTTCTAACACAATGGCACTTCTGGTATGGAAATACAGAATGCTAAAATGATTAACAGTATGGAAATTCAAAATGCTAAAGCAATTGCTATTTTTATCATAGTCAATGTCCCTAGATTCCTGTCGACTTCTTAGCAGCCAAGACTTCACTTGTATTTTCAGATGTATTTTCAAAACAGAAATAGAAAAAGATGTTAAGGGAGAGGAGCTTGAGGGCAACCCAACTTCTCACATTTTCCTTACTATCTTCCTACAATTACTTTATCTCGAAAGTCTGCCTGTTTTTTCTTTTCTAGAATGACTTTTAAGAAATTTCTCAGAAAAGAATGAATACCAGTGAGTTATTGTTGTTTTGCATTTTTAAAAAATATTGTTTGATCAATATTGTCAGCTGTCCTAATTTTTTTTCCCATGAGACTTTTTTGTTTATATCCCCTCCCTTTCCCTCCACAGCTTACACGTAATTCTTCTTTACCTCCATGTCACCTGATAATCTCTATTCTGCTTTCACTCAGTCTTCTCCCTTTCATCTTCTTATTCCTGTCCTCTCTGACCTACCTTAGAAACAACTCCTATTTAATCTCCTTAGAACATCCAAAACTTTTTCTCCTCCCCAGCTTGTCTTGTTTGTAGTGAACTTTCAAATTGTATAGTTGAATGTTAACAGACAGCTGCCTTCTGGTGACAAAACTGAATTGCTGCAATGACTCATAATTAATCTAGATATCCACAGGTTTAAATAGATCACTTAATCTCATGAGCCTTTTGGTAGCCCAGGCAGTGAACTCACATGTCAAACTGCAACATCTCTGCAGTCAGGCAATCAAAATCAGGGAGCCCTGAACCAGATGAATCCTGGAAACTAGGACAGCTCTAACTTAAGTGAGCTAAATCTACATGCAACAGTCTAAAACACATTTCATTCATATTTTGGGCCTAGGAGTATTTGAAACTCTGTTGAAGTATACTACATCATTTCATGCCAGTCCCTGAAACAAGATAATTTGGGCAGCAATTGGCTTTTAAAACCAAGGCTCAGAATGGCCCATGGTCGGACACACCAAGTTCAGCTTCAGAGTACCACTGCTGGTAGGGAGGGGAAGGGAGAGAAGGAATAAGTCAACAAATATATGACAGTTTCCACATATAATTGAAACCAGAATATAACTAAAGTAAGGATTAGATCTCTCTACAACATTGCTGAGTTGTTCCTCAAGATGTATTGAATTTGGGAACTATAAGACAAATAGAAGCTCAATTTTGTTGGTTCTCCAGTGAAGCCCCTTTGTTTAGGATTTTGAACATTAGGCAACCATTCACTTAATGAAAACTACTACAATCACCGAATAGAAAAAAAATCTGCATTACCACAAATTGGTCATTGCACTTGTTATAAATTTGCCTTACCCATGTCCTTTCTCTTTGGGTTTATGAAATCAGTTTGCTTCTTCTGGGAGCATTCACTACGACCAACTGTGAAACAGCTAATCTTCCATCTGTAAGATTATTTTTAAGGAATGTAGAAATACATTTGCCTGTATCATGAGTTCACAGAAAGGGATGAAAAGTTGCCAAAGGATGCACCATAATACAAAAATACAGTAACACTTGGACATTTATTACATTACTGTTTAACTGCTATGAATGTAAAACTCCCTTTCAAGATAGAAATGTCTTTGAGAAATTACAAAAATAAAGAGCCTTTAAAAATGTTATGAAGCAATGTATTTCATTCTACAAAGATGATTATATAGACAACTAGAAGGGGAAATATTATTTTAAAAAAACCAAAGCAGAATAAATATTTTAAATCAGATAAACTAACCAGTTTTTACACATTCAAAGATTTTGAGCTTTTAAGAAACAAATACTCTCCTGAAAATAACAACTTTTATTCTAGATTTATAAATCAAACCTGGAAAGAGCTATTTAATAATAGTATACTGTCACAGAAAAATAAAACAAATAGTAAAAACCCTGTGCAGTACTTACAAGGATTATAATTTTAGATCCTTAGTGTGCATGCTCTGTAATCATACTTCCAAATAAAATACAAACAATCAAATCTGTAGAGAAGGTGATGAATAGTTACTTTGCTGACTCATTCCAGATATAAACACAAGTTCCAACGGAGGGACTGCCGAGGACTGAAGGCAGGTGTGATGGAGGTGAGGGGAAGGGACCAAAAACCCTGTTAGAGGTACCTTTTTGATCAACCTGGTGCTGAATCACTGACTTCTGTCAGTCAAAAGCTGCAATTACCGTTCCGGATGGGTTAGGACTTAGTTCCGAAGCCTTCCAGCAGATGTCCTCGCAAGGCAGGCATGTCTGGGAGGTTCAAGATGTCACCATTTAAAACAGACAGATAGGGAGGAAAAGAGACTTAAAATAGGGGTGATATAAATGTATGAATGAATTCAAAGTATTCAGTGTATTCTCAAAAGCCAAATTTGAAAACATAGGCAGCACATCTAGAAAAAAGGAGTGCCATCTTAAAAACTAAAAGTCACCTGAACAAGTACGTTTGAAGCAGCACATCTCTTTCCACCAATGTTTACTAATTCCTTAGGCCTCACATGTAAACAAAACAGAAGGTTCAAAAAATGATGGTGAAAAGCATGAGCACAAGGCAAACAGCATAAAGTCTCTAATCCTGTACCCCTCCCTTCCCTTTCATGCTAAAACTGACACTAATTTTATTGTGCACAGAGCCTTCTTCACTACTCCCTAGTGGCAGTGACATACAAATGTTGTCACGAAGCTGGTATTCTTGGAAACATGAAATCCACCAGCTATTTAAGGGAAACTTAAAAAGAACAATTTCCTTAAAATAATCATTCTCATCCTGACTTGTACAAATGGAAAGTTTTGATACCACATTAAAAATATTTGACTTGCTCTTCTAAGTAGTGAGTAATGCATTCACAGTTAACTACCCACAGACACCTATGAGAGAAGAGACTGATTCATCAAGTACTGGTCTACTAACCCAAAGCTGGGATTCTTTACCCAGGTCTATCAGACTCGTATCTCCAGCCCTCAATCCATTGCCTGCTTTAACGTAGATGTTCATGGCTTCATACCCAAGAAGTCAGGGAAGGGTGAAATCAAGAAGATGAGCATCACTGCCTTCTCCTAGAGCAGACACAGAAGTGCTGAAACTTACAGCTTACTGGGAGACCAGCCAACTGGGACATGTCAGTCACTACACTCTGGCTGGTGGAAAGAACTCTAGACTGTCCCAGCTTCTGGAAAATGCTGGGAGGGTGGTTACAATAGCTGGGGCAGACTTGTCTGCCAGACCTTCTTCAGTGGCTCAAATAACTGGGACAGATTTGTCTGCCAGAGGTTCTTTGGTAGATCCATTATAACACTTACAGACAGAAAGCATTGCTGTGTTCTACATACTGAATTAGATCCAAGCTAACATCATCAATTTTAGAAACAGACTGCTCATGAAATCATACAGGAGTAGGGATTTTGTCAGTATCTTGTCTGAATCTTCAATAGCATGAGTGAATGATTTTCTGCAAGCTGATTGTTCTGAATTTCAAAAACTAACAAAAGTTAAAACAGATATTTTAGCTTGGAGTCAGTGAATGACTATGGTCAACAATACAGAACTGTTACATTTCTTAACTGGCGAATGCTTTCATGCCATAGAAATATCAGATAAAGCCCATTCTGCACGCAATTTGTCCTAGGGGAAGAAGAAGCCAGGTTAATACAGTATTAAAGCTGTATTTCACCTGCTGAAAAGCAGGTAAATATTGTATTAAAGCTATTACAGTTTTTCAGCTTAACTAAGGTTCTCTTCAGCTGTCACAAAATATACTTATAAAATTCTCTTTAAGTTGTGCTTTACCTAAACAAGCAAACAAAAAGCACAGAATAATTCCATGAAATCAAGATTTCCATTTAAAATATCAAAGGACAAATGCAAATGATGAACGATGACTGGGAAACAGCTACAGACTATTAATCATAGAAGATTACTTCACTAAGCTCTCTCTTTGTCTTGAATCCTAAGCCACTCACCCTTCAGCCACACTGAATTACAGTGCAAGCAGAGGTTAATTCTACTGGTTCCAAATAAAGACCTCCTATGGGAACAAATACACAGCTCAAATAAAACCATAAAAAAAGGTGAAGCAATCCTAATCATAACCAGCTATTCTTTCATAGCTCTAGTTTTATCACGTACACATATGCCAGTCAAATCTTTATAAACTATGTCAACAAGTCATGATTTCCCCCTCTTTCCCCATGAAACCTGTGTAAGGATAACTGTACACGTCCACAAAATAGAGGATGTCATTTTATTGGAGGTCCACAGGTAATTGTATCACATTAGGGAGTGGAAGAATCTTGTGGTATGGCACAACACAATACCTCACTTAAACACTTAAACAGAAGGTTAAATGATATGCAACATGATCAAATCAGTAATTCATCATCTTCTAGGCACCACTGATTAATTTAAAATAAAATGTGCCTCTAACTTGAATTATCAATCCATAATTTGGGATTTATTCAAGGTTTTTGGAATGAGAACAGGTGATTAATTTAAAATAAAATTTAATAAATTGAAAAAATATAGTCCATTAATTTGTTTGTTGTACTGTCTTTAAACGAAACAGCACTTTGAAAGTCACAAATAAAAAAGCAGCACTTTCTCTTAATACCAACACCACTGTAACACATACTGTAGCGTGGCATGCAAATCCACATCTGCAGTCTTTTGTTTTGTTTTGTATTAACAAATGGAATGGTAATTCTCTATCTCAAATACTGGTAATATAACAGCATAACAATCTGTAAGTGCAGATCATTCTGGCCACAGGTGTGGTAAGCCGTAACAAGTGTGTATTACAAGAGCATAGAACACAGAGCATGACACTTACATCCAAGAATCTCTCTTTTGTACTGTACATGGTATTTGTTACAGGCTGACTTCCAACTCGCTGTACCCAAGCGTCAGGAAACAAGATTATTGACCTTTTCTGGTTTTATTTAAAAGTTAAATGCAGTCACCATCAAAGCACAACTGTTAACGACCTGGTCAAAAAAATGCCATAGCTCCATTGAAAAAAAAACTTGTCCTTTTAGTAGATTCCATTAAGTGATAAAGTTTCCATTACAGGCATGTTACGAAGCCTTACAGTGGTACTGCAGTGTCATTCCCATTAAGCACAGATTTGTATAGACACCAGGAAATGGTGTGATGTTCAGAAAAGCTGTTCAAACTGAGCTAAGCTTTACAAGACCACGCACTGAGTCTTCATGCAATGAGTCCTGGCTGGCTAGACTCAGGACGTGCATTGTATGGCTGTGTGTAATAGGACTTCCACTCGGCAGCATCCCAGGGGGTGATGGAGCTTCTTCAGGAGTGAGAAACTGATGGCCTTCGTGCTCCTCTTTCAATGGTATGATGTCTGTCAAACCTGAATCTGATGTGAGATTTGGCATAGAAGATGGTGGTGTTGGTTGCCCTAGAGTCAGAGTTGCACAAGGGCCACTGATAGAAGTCTTTCCTGGTAAAGGGAGCTCTTCACTAGTTATGCTTGGCTCACTCTGTAGGAGGGGGGTGGCAGCAGCCTGCAAAACGAATTTAGTGCTCTGAATGCACTGATCTTGGTCACACTGTAGAATGGAAGGGTGTCAAAATCATATAAGGTAAACAAAACAGAGAAAAAAATGGAGAATATGGATAAAAAAGGTATGGAAAAGAATGGGATGTGAAGAGAAAAAAAGAAAGCCATTAGTATCATTCCATGGTTAGCCACCCAAACATCCCATTGCATGCTGCCCAGGAAAAAAAAAAGAGAAAGGCATGCATAACTGAGCCAATGCTTTGGATTATTATCAAAGTAAATTATGACATACATTCACAGTGTTCATTTAAGGGTTCTTTAAAAAACAGTAGGCAATTTTCTTCTTTTGACTGGTCTTCACACGTAGGAATTAACCTACCACAGAGGTTTTCCAGAGCAAGAATTCTTTTGACACAGGTATCTTACACAGATATTTATTACAGTTAGTAATAAAGAGCTCTATGAGTAAAATTTTTTCCCTCACAGTTTAATAAATAATTATATATAAATTCTAGAGAATATCCTATACTATACTCTATACTCCAGAGGATGGTAGAAACCAGGCAGCATGGCAGATGCATCAGGATCAACCTTGATGATTTTTAGGCTGTTTTTTGATTAATCCTGACAATGTGATGAATCAAAGTACAAAACGCAAGTTTTCTGGCAAGCACTGTCTCAATAACAACTCAAATTCAGAATTATATAAATCCAGTTAAGCTCATTTAGTGTTACCAGAAATGGGCTTTTTTTGGCTCTACACCATTTCTAAGAACTGTTTATAAAAATTACCCCTCATTCCTTGAGAATACAGGTATGTATTTCAATAATGTACAGCCAGCTAAGTGGGTAGTATAACGACTGCCAAATTAAGTTTCTTTAACACGAATTGGCATGATTTTTTGAGAACTTCTGAAGAAAAAAATTAATTCATAGCCTGATCAGATATAACATTGCAGTTTTTCAAAATCTTGTTAGATTCATTTGCCATAGTACTGTTCTGCTGGGTAAGAAAATCACTACAATCAGTGAATACAACTACAAATTCAATGAAGGACATTTGGAAGTAATCAAGCAGAATAAAAGATCTATCCAGAGGTAAGACATCCTATTCACTGTTGTTATTTCAAGTATTCTATTAAAGCAGTATGTTTGGCTCTACGACTGACTTCTTAGATTTTTATCAAATTACTACATATTAAAGATCCATCATCTATTCAGACATTCCTGATCATAACCATTGTTACTAACATCATAGCAATTCCCTAGAATGCCCATTTGAGTTTAATAAGGCACTGTGACACAGTCTCTGAAAACTTCTGGCAAGACTTTTGCCTCCTTTATTGTATGATGAAAACCATGATTAACAATGCTTCCTCTGTTATTTTCAGGTTTTCCAATTTCACCACCGAACAGCTTAATGATGGATGCACACACCTAACATTCAGCAAGTGTGCAAGCATACTACTTGGTCATAATAGATAGATAGTGTTTAAAATGCATCTAAGTGATTTAAGACTCCCAGACCAACTACTTTTGACAGGCAGAAGCTCAATCTTTACTCAGGTACATATTTCCAAGACTTCCACTTTCAGAAAGATAGACAGACTGACCTCCTCTTACATAAACTGAGTTCACATAAATTGCAAGCAATCTTCCCCCCACAAAATTATGAACAACCCCAGCCAAAAAACTGAAGTGGTTTCCCTATTATTTCAGAAGGATTACTCACAGGGTTAAAGCCAAAACCTTGCTTAAGTACCTTACTAAGAAGAAAACTATCAGCATCTTTTAAAGTCAAGCTTGCAAATAGTAATTCAGTGCGAATAACTCAATCTTGATCCTGTTTTTCACGCCTGCTTATTTAATTAAAACTTCAACCAACCTTACTATGCAGACCTTAAAACTGAATCTTCAAACTTCAAAAAGACCAACAAAACCTATTTTCTCTGAAAGGCAGTAGCCAAAGAACAAGTTAAATAACAAAAGAATGCTTATAACCACTGGGGCACACTGAAAACAAGTAATGTTAACAGCTGACTTACTGCTTTAGTGAACCTTCAGCTCTGATCTTCAAAAGGAAATCATTACCGTGTTCCAGGCAATACAAGTACACTGCTTTGTATTAGTTGAAGGCAATTTACTTGAACTCATTGTATACTCTGAATTAATTTTCTTCCTATAGAACTCCACTGCATTTCAGTTAAATTAGTATCAAAATACAAAGTAGCCTCATAAAGCTCCATTAAATAGTGTTACAAGCTTCAGGTGCTGTACAACTTCATTTTCCATGCACTTGTCACTTCCCTAAAGCCTCTCCTTTCATTTAGATAAATTTCAGGTATTCTTTTTCTTGTCTTTTCAACAGCGATCAGCACGAAATCCTTAGGAAAATACAGACTGTAAAGAGCTTTTGAAAGGAAACTATGGCAGGGTCTAAGCCAGAAAAAGTACATGTGTTTTTTGAGGCTCTCAAAAACATCTGATAAAAACATTAATATACAGGTAGACTATTCTTGAGTCTAAACACCCAACACAAAACTAAAACAAGAAAATCAGATTTGTTATAGGGTTGGCATGGTGGTTTTTCCTCGATTTCATTATTTCACTCTTGACTGAATGAAATTTAGGTCAGGAATTCTTAGCTGCTACTGATCACATGAATTATCCAACACTAGAATTTAACATGAAACAAAAAAGCCTATGATTTTAAGAAAAAGGAAGCTAAGCATTGAAATCTAAATAACTAAAAACTACTGCAAAAATTATTCCACCAGCATCTTATTTCAGATATGCTTATCTTATTTTTCACTTAAAATTTCCACTGCTTCAGAGAAACAGCAGATTCTGAGGGTAGGACAAGTTTACTAAGTTCTGCAAGTACAGAAGTTCAACTAAATATATGCACAGAAATTTTTAGATATCTATTTATTTCCACATAAAAAGGCACAAATGAAAGCAAATTGGACAAAACCTAGAATTCTGAGTTTATTTCACAAATAATAAATACAAACAACTAAGGAATTTTTTTCTGAAGAAAATCTGTTTTTTCTAAGCTACACAGAAAATGCGTGGTAACTTTGTACATGGCAATATATTTATCACATTTCTAAATGTGATTATTTCGAAATAATTAAATATTAAATAAACTTAGTTTAAAATTTACTAAACGCTAATAACATTCAAGAATTGTTACAGTTCTCAGAGGATGGAGTCTCCCAATCTCTGAATAAAGTACAAGCAACACAGAGTTCAGAGGAGGCTTACAGTGGTATGAAGTTACAGGAAGAATGCTGAAATGCCATAATCTGGATACAACAAATGGGTAAAGAGTGGAGGGACAGAGCTGTGTAACTGTTCCCAACAGATGTAGGATTTCACAATCAAAATCAACGTATTGTGCATATTGTGCAACAACTGAGCCACAAACCCCACCAAGCCAATGGCTCCAGTATCAAACAGCACAGTGCATAAGGGCAGATCTATGAAAGGAAACACTTCAGAAGCCAAACTTGGCCCAAAGACTTTACTTCAGATTAGAGACTATTTGTTCTTACGGATTCAAAGTCTGAGAATGCTTAGAGCAACTTGGGTGCATTCCAGGGGTGCATCTTCTAAAATAAATCTAGTTCATGTGCTCCAACACTGCCCTGAGACTTGAATAAAAACACAGTAAACATGCACTATCAAAAGAATTGCTCCTAAAACATAGCTCAACCCAAAGCAAAATGCTGAAATTGATTTATTTGCATGTGCCCATAAACCATTTTAACTGTGAAGTAAAAAGAAGCATTAATGAAAAACTTCCATCAACCTTGACTGTGGTAATGTTGACTTGGTAATGACCCTGAGTTCTGTTTTGGGCATCTGGGAAGTACATCAGCAAATATACAAGGAAACACACTCACAAAACTCCCAGAAACTGGGGCTGCAGTCCTTGCCAATTCTGTTACTGTCATGATAGAAATACTTACTCCTAATCATGAAAATATGAAAAGCCAAGGAAGAAGTACACTAGGATGATCAGAGTTAATATTCCCTGAGTCAGCTGGATTTATTTCCAGATCAGTAACAGAAATATTTAAGTGAACATGTGGGAGAGGACTTTCTGCACTAATCACTGGTAATAAATGTTGTGCATGCATTATAGTTCCTACAATTTTCAATAGTACATACACGTAAGAAAACACTTTAAAGAATTTGCATCCAGGAAAAAAAATGGAGAAACAAGAATTTGGTACACATGGAACTACTGAAGAAGAGATGCCTAGGAATGGAGCATAAGGAAATTTCTTTAAAAAAAAGAAATAAACCTTTCCTGACACAGAGTCCAACAGGAGCAAAGTCTATCATAAGGCATTAGAGAATACCTAGAGAAATGATAGTAAATATAAACCGAATTAATTCCTCTAAAAAACTTCATGGAGTGACACAGATTGTGTGTTTCCTCCTAACAGATTACTAAAGAATAAAACATCCTATATCAAAGCCCAATAATCAACTCCAGCTTTTGAGATAAAATTACAGTGGTCCAGACCCAAGTAGTGGTAACTGATAAGTTTATGGGTAAAGAGTAACTTCTTTCAGAACATAAAGACAATAAACTTTAACATGAAAGAATAAATTACAGAGAAAATTATTATTTCATAAAGGGTGAGATACTGTTCTTCATACAAAAAAAAAATTAAAATAAGGAAAATACTTGGGTAATCAAACTAATGATGAGCTCATAAAAATAATCAGTAATAACATGCAATATGGAAATACTTTGGAAATTACCAGATCTACAGATTATGCGCTCCAAGTGACCATGTGGATACATGTGGATAAGGATATTTAGAAGTTGGCTAATGAATTTATCAGACTAATGTAAAATTATATTGGAAAAGAAATTAAAAACACTGGGAATGCACCAGGAAAATAACTGTATGTGCTTCAGCCTTCACGAAAGTAAATGCAGATTCAGCTTTTATTAAAACAAGGGAGATACTATGGAGAGAACAGGAGAAAAACCTCTTCTATAAAGATCTAGAAAAAACCCAAAATCACAGTATGGGTCTATCAAGCACTGATTATACCTATGACTCTGACTTCCTGAGATTGTGGCAAACTGTGTCACTACTATGAGTAGGGTAGATACTGTATAAAATATTCAAAGTCTCAGAGGCAAAATTACCACAAAAGCTGTTAAATACAGAAAGAGTGCCCCACAAATGGTATCCTGAATAAGAGATAATGTATTGTGTTGAAAACAAGCGTCTGGCAATTTTACACTTAGCCTGATATTTATTTTGAACTAACAGCAAAAATGAGGCTATGCTAAAAAATTCATTAAAATAAATGAAAACAGAGTATTTACACTAAGAAACCCACAGAGATTTAATGAGGGACAAGAGACCCATTGGGTGAAGCACAAGGATTCTATTTAGAAAGCCACAAGTCACTGCCACGTATGAGGAGCTGTTGAGGGAGCTGAGGTTGTTTAGCCTGAAGATGAGGCTCAGAGGAGACCTCACTGCTCTCTACAGCTCCCTGAAAGGAGGTTTTAGCCAGGTGAGGGTTGGGCTCTTCTCCCAGGCAACCAGTGACAGGACAAGAGGACACTGTCTTAAGCTGCATCAGGGGAGGTTTAGGTTGGACATTTGGAAGAAGTTCTTCACAGATGGGGAGACCAGACATTGAAATGGGCTGCCCAGGGAGGCAGTGGAGTCACCATCCCTGGGGGTGTTTAAGGAAAGACTGGATGTGGCACTGAGTGCCATGGTCTAGTTGACAAGGTGGTGTTTGGTCATAGGCTGGACTCGATTTCAGAGGTCTTTTCCAACCAAGCTGATTCTGTAAAAGATTCCAGGGAAGAAAGGGAAATGAAAGAGGGAAGGAATAAGAGAAAACAAGTGTGAGAGAATATGCTCATTTAAATCTTTATTTTGTATCAATGGTGAGGAGAGATGTTTTACCACACTGTCGATTAAGCAGGGTAACATCTTGACATGAAGACCTGATGTAATACATTCTACAATAAAATCAAGAGAGACACACTACAAAGGTGTACTGAAACACACTTCAGACTTCTAGTAATTTATTTCTTGTAATCAAAAGCATTAAGCTTCCTAAAATAGTATACATATTGATGATGTATAAACGGCCAAATTTCTGCCATTTGAAAAGTACTGTGGTCTACAGCTATGATCTACACATGCTCCTTTAAGTCAAGGAATTTCACTTTGTCTTGATCTGAAACCATAGTAATACCAGCTCTAATACCAGATATATCCCCTTCAACTGGGAAAGGAAAACAGTGTTAGAGAGATGGGCAAACTAAGCCAGTCTTTAACAGCTTACAACAAAACTCAACGAAGAAATTTTAATGCTGACAGCTAGCAGTCCTTAGAAACCAATTGGTCTTGGATGCAGACCAAGAGAAAAGATGCCCTGAGAAAAATGGCATTACAGTCTTTAGAAATATTCCTTCAAATCAAACAAGACATATTACAGTTTTCAAGCTTTTTCTAAGAGGTCATTTTCAGGAGTGAAATCTGCACATTTCCTAGCAACTCTGATAACTGCTAAAGAACCCAGGCTTTTCCCAGCTCATGTGGTAGGGTGTTCTAGGATATAAGAAGAAATTTTGAAGGATTTGTGTAATTAGAGATATTACACTTTAAAATTTTAACAGTTACCTGTTTTACTTAAAAGTAATACCAGAATAAATTTCTTCATTTCTAGAGACAAAATTAGTTAATTTTCGACCAAACTGGAAAAGATTTTCTCATTAATATTTAGGAATAATGATAGTGTCTAAATTCTTGCAATGGTAAGACAATGTAATGCCATGGACACATTGTAGGTTTATGATCCTCACAAATAAGAAGCCTTGACAGCGTCAGAAAGTTTGGGTAATCTCTGAAAAGACTTCCACTTATTTCTAGTGTTTGCTCTTTTTTTTTTTTTTTAACTCCCTTTTCTCTCTTCAGAGTTACAATATTTTGAGTAAAATTTATGTAGAGCATTACCTTGTTCTGCTCACTGCACCTCAGAAGGATTAGACTTAATACCATGTCTCTAATACATTTTCTTATTAAGGAGACTAACAAATCTATTTCATTCTCAAAACATTAAGTAAAACCAGCTTAGGAACTACAGCAAAATTTTTGTATGAGTTTATCAGTGACACTAAAACTAATCTGTCTGGGAAGAGCACGTCTTTTCTTCTTTTGTTCAAAAGAAAGGCTGAACTATGTCAGAAGGCCTCGTGGCTTCCTCTTTATTGGCAGAGGGAGGGTATCCGTAACTCACGACTTCTTTGACAAAGTATTAGAACCCACATACTGTGAAGATATGTGGACAGTAATTCAGAAATAGGCACAGATGCAAGATGGTTGCCTTCAGAAAAAGATCTCTTTCCAGTTAGTTTCTTCTTCTTGGCACTGGAAATCCTATCTTCCATTATGATAGCCAATGCTACCAACAAAAAAACAAATACTATTGGCACAGTTTCAAAGATGTTCAAAAAACTTTTGTTGTAACAATCCAGTTGCCATTTTTTTGTTCAGGTTCAGTGTCCTCCTGCCCTTTCTTCAAAATATTTCTCCCCTAGAAACTCCTCTTTGTTCATCTTTGCTTTTTAAAACACATTAGTCTATGCAAAACTGCAGTGTACAAGCAAAGAAGGAAATGAGAGTATGAAGAAAGTGCCACACAAAATAACAAGTAGCTGGAAAATGACAAACCAGAGTAAGTCCATGACACTTGAATATTCCAGTTCAAAACACAGTAGGTGTCAACAGCAAAAATCAAAATGCCAGTATATTCAATAAATCAACAGCGTAGAAAAGACTTTTTTTTTAGAATCCAGGAGCAGTAACTATTACACTGTGTGAAACATATATTAAAAAGAGCCTTGGATTTTGGTTTTTTCTTTACTGTTATTAAACAACTCATTCCACCCAGTGTGTCAGCTGTATCCAGTTAGTTATTAGTTCACATGAAAGTGGAGAAGAAAAACATTCACAGGAATCTTGATGAACAACACTATGGGATGATTCCTACCATGTTGCTCTGAGATTGTGTGGCCCCGTACATGGTAATGCCATTTGATGGTCCTGCTAACTGCGGTGTATCTGGCTGTATAAATCCTCTTCTGTCAATTAAGCTACAGAATAATCAAAATAAAGGAAAAGTATTAAAGACATTACTGATCAATAACTATCTCCTCTCAATAAAAAGAAAGACAAACTTTCTATCATACAACAGACCTTAATACCTCACCAATACTCGCTAATGTCCCCTTTTAATCAAATGAAGTAATAGACTTCATTTTCCACTCATCAGTAAGGTGCTTGTTCTTTGTGATACTGCCTGTCATATAATCACATATATTGCTACTTTTTTTTATTTTTACCACAGAAATAGACTTAGAAGCTTACCAGCAGATACCACAAAACCAAAGAATTTTAAACCACAGGTGAAAAAAACAAATGACAAAACTCACTCAGGGCACTTTGATTCAGCACCTCTTTCAAAGGTTCTTTTTTTTACCAGCTTCCACATCTAAATTGAAACTACTTAATCACAAAATTTAGCAAGAATGAAGAAAAGTTTATCTTTCTTTCTGACAGACAACTTAACCTGCCAGATGTTTCATGACAACTACTTAACACGGCTTCTAGTGTTCCACTGTGCTTACCAAAGTGATGCAATCATAACATTTCTTATTTCTAAGAAAATACTCTGTGGAGAAATTACTAAATGTAAGTAAAAAAATATGTGCAAGATATAAACAAATTACATAGAATGAAATAATTCAACCTAGTTAAACTTTAAAGATGCTTAAAGAAGGTATATAATTTGTTGCACCAGAATACTGGTTAGACCTGTGCTGTCAACCAAGGATCAAATTAAGATTTGAAAGTAACTGTTGAGGACATGTAAAATACATTCTGAATTTGCTAGCATAGGTTTAAAAATTATAAATTATCTTTAATAGAAGTGAGAAAAGTTTTGATTAGTTACAGATTCTCTCTTCATCTGTACTTCATGCTCAAAGGCACTTGAACATTTTGAATTTTGAGCTGAAATTGCTGGTAAGCCTCTTTTCCAGAATTTAAGGAAAAAACCTTACTATTTAGTTACTTGGGATACAGCTGAGATTAGGAGTAAAAGAAGCAAGCTTACAATTTACATGTTACAGTCGGAAAACTTTTCCCCATGGTCACAAAATAACTCCCTGCAGAACCTCTCTATATAGATGTCAATGTCTAAATAAGTAATGTTGCTACATTGAATTTTGGAAAAAATTAACAAACTCTGCTAAGCACAGTAGCCAATGCCAGTCTGGTCCTATTGTGTGTTGCTACTTTTATCAGCCTAATATACTATTTCATACACTGAGAAACACGATGTAGTTTTAATAAAGATTTCCATTTGGAATCAAAAGAATTTGAAGCGCGGCATAGTGCTTTTATGTCACATACTTTTATCAAAATCAAAATGGCAGAATTAAAAGGTTGGCTCCAGGCAACATCCACACAGGCAGGAAGCAGAGACAGAGCTATTCACTCTCATCGGGGGTAATCCTGTATGTGGACATCTCTATTCTGTTGTTTCCTCTTTAGGAACAGATGTCAGTCTCCCCTGTTGAACTCTGACTGCTCATAGAAAAACCACCTCTAACATTCCTGACAGCAAAGCCAGGGATCTCACTCCAGTTAAACACCTGAGCCATTGGACCATAAAATAATTTATTTTCTTTCTTCTTGTTCAGATTCAGGTTCCTCAACTCTCCTCACCTCATGTCACATTTGTTACGTATGTAAAAGTTTCATAAACTTCCAGACTGACCTTCATGCAACAGTCAACTACTAGAAACCTTTAATTGGTCTAAGCTGTTGACTGCAGTGGTGAAAGCTCAAACAACAAACAATCTTATTTCTATTTCAGATGTAATTTTACAGGATTTGATCATTAACTTAGTTTAAACACAATTTACCAACTTATCTCTTTACCACTGAAGAAAAACATAAAGCTTCTAACAGACTCTAATCCAAAACTTTCATTTTGTTGAGTAAACTCAAATAATCAAAAAGAATAATTTTTCCATTAATAACCCCATGGCTTCATTTATGCTAACAACACTTTTGATACACTTACCTTGGAGAAAGGGGCCCACAGAGAGCAGCACAGCAATTAGTAAAGATGTTGCCATAACTGTAGGGATTATAATTTTCTTTACCTCTTTTATTTGACCATGATCCTTTAATCTGAAGAGATATGAACAATATGTATCACATGTAATACAATACAGAAAATGGCTGTGAGAAATTAAGGTTGCAACATGCTACTTGCAGAAGAGACCACAGAAAATCCATAATGACACTTTCCAAACAATTTGAGAGTTCTGGGTTGTTATGAAGGCTGGACCCCACGAGCACATGCTGTACCTCCATAGATCTAGACAACCCACAACACAACCTCAAGAGATCAATATACTCTAAGCAGGAATTTCAGCATCTAAATGTAACGGTCCAAGTTCCATTTTACAGATATTATAGCATGTTTTACAGAGGAGGCTCAATTGCAAAATATGATTAAAGCCAGCAACAGAGCACTTCTTTTCCATTCTCATGGGTAAGTTTTCAAGCTGCGCAATATCACACAACATTATCTTCCCTAAAGTTCACAAATGGTTCTGAAATAGTGTAAAGCAAATGCAGCCATTGCTACCTTTTAGTGCATATTACATTTTCTCTTAGCTAGTTTGCTTCTTCTGTTTGTGAGATACTTGACAGTCTGAGTAAAATGTCTTGCTGTATTCAATTGGGAATTTATGTTTTAAATTAAATTACTGAGCAGTTTACTTGATATTGAGACATGTTTCACTGCTGCAGTTCCCTGCTATCTATCTTTCAACAATCCAGAAGAGACATTCATTTGAGGGAAGTGGGTGGAAGCACACTAAGTCCATCTAGAGAGACAATCTTGGCATAAACCTAATAACCGAGGAATAACCGAGTACCTCATCTGTCTTATTAACAAGGTAGATTTCTTCCAAGTCAGGCTTATTGCTCTGATACTTGACGCTGAGACATAATTAATTTTGATCCTGCTTGGGAAGTGCTTTTCTGGTTGATTGATATTTACTGTAAAATGTATGATTTTAATTAAATAATGTGACTTTAAACAATAACAAAACATATTTGACAGTACTGAAGACACTACTTTTATATCTACCAGTACCTATGAAAAAGGTACCATAGGAAATGACAATAAAACAACTTAAAGCTTGAAGTGTTTTGTTAGATCACTTATTAAATTTCCAAAAGCTTTCTATACATTAGCTCCCTAGCTAATTTTATTTTCTCCTTTCACTCATTACATATTTCTCCTTTTAGTTAGAAGACATCAGGACTCCACACACAGTTAAGCATAATTCAACACCAAAACAAAGGAATCCTACATGCAAAATAGACAGCTGTAGAAATGAGAAAGTTGATCTTTAAATTAATTATATACTCCTTGCCCAACGTTTTGAATCTCAGAATGGCAAAAAACCTTCAGAGGTAAGATAAAATAAAGAATGATTTTTTTTTAGAGAATTCAACACACTTTACATTTTTTACAGTAAGCAATTTTGAGTTAAAGAATATTTACCACTTCCAGTGAAAAGGAGATACCGAAAAATACTTATTAATTTCCTACTGTAAAAAATATACTTGTCTCCTCCCTCCTGTATTTTACTATTTCAAGATAGAAATTCTTCATCTGTAAACCATAATGGACATACTATGTATATAATGAGTGTATCTTCAAACCACAACAAATATAGTAAAAAAGATTTCATCTGATCTTTTGAATCAAGCATGACCTTTCCTTCTTTCCCACTAATGTATTCACAAAATGATACAGACATGTCTGACTTGAGAAAAAATCCTCATTACTATTTAGAAATACATATGTAGAAATATACTACAAACTTACATCTTCATTTGTTGTTTGATTGGAGCTGATCAAATACGTATGAAAACCTGAGAGGCCAACAATGGACCATACTGAGAAAAAACACACCACAGCTTCCAGCACAGTAATTAAAAGTCAAGGAAATATATGCAAATGAGAAAAAAAAATTTCAGTAACCAGTAGTTAAAATCACAAAATTCAGAGTAGCCTACAAGTCCTTTGAGATCTCTGGAACTTCAAAGGATCAGCAAAAAATAAACTCTAGGCATCTGCCTAGCCCAGACACAGCAGCACCCCAGCCAAACGCTGTGAGGAGTGTGTGTCCAGCCAGCACCCTGCTGATATGAGGTGCAATGCAGAGGGCTGCACACTCGAGATACACACATGGGAGCTCGCAGGGTGCTCTCACGTGTGACTTACAGGGAACAGCACAGGGACACGTCCAGCAGGAGCACCATCACCTCCAAGAGAGTAGCAAAGGTGTGCACATGCACTTATTGGTATATTCAGAAAAACAGTCAGCACTCAACATTGCTACTTACTACAGTTTATACCATTCCTTTAGCTCTAAAGAAGTCATCATCTCAGAAGTAAGATAATAAAATTGCTTCTAAACTTTATAGAATCAAGCATAAAGAGGAACTTTCCAAACATTCTGTAGAAGGCTTCCTTCTATAGCTTTTATTTATTTATTTACACCAAATAGCCATGAACTCAGAACACATTGGCTTTGAAAATGCTATTTTCTATAATACTTCTATATTTTGGGTTTTTTTTAAGGGAACATGAATCAACAGTAGAAAATGCTTTGGTTCCTAGAAAAATACATAAAATTCATGACTAGGAACAAAATGATGAGAAAAGAATAGGATAAAAATAATCTGTATCTTAACCATATCAACCTTTAGTGAAGTCAGTTTCCAAGACAACACCAACTCAAAATGTTCCAGAACAAGGACACAGTCTTAGAACACAGGAAAAACACCCTTATTATTGAACCTGTCAATAGAAGAAAAATACACTGAGACACAGCCTGGAAACAGGATGGATGGACATAAATACTTGCAATAAAAAATTCTAACCTTAGTTAAAAGTGAAGAGTTTTGTATTGCAGGACTGCCCATCCCTAATGAACTGGGATTCATTACATTCACGGAAGTGTCTGTATAATCTTCCCTAGAACCTATTTCAATCAGAGTGGTTTAAAGCCAGAAAAGAGCCATTTGGATCCTGAGCAGATCTGCTCCGAAAGCAGCAGGATGACCAAAGCACACTGCTGAGCAGCATGGTCACTACTCTCTGCCTCTCATTTCCTCCTCAGGCTGTGTGAAGTCAAACCAACACAAGACAGGAACTCTGAAAGTCTGCAACAGCCACAGCTAAAGCAAGGAGTACAGGGGATAATGGGTAAGGAGCAGACTGTTGGCAGAGGGTTCTAAAACATGCAAAAGAAGGAAACAGCTAAAAACATAATGCACAATACAAACCGGGCTTTGAAAGAGCAGATATAGTAAGGAAGGCTGCAGATGAGCATTGTTTTGTACAATCTGCACACCAGGAGAAAGATTCATCAGGTCAGAAAAGAAGAACCTTAGAGGGAAAAGAGCTCCCTGAAATGTGAATATATCACTAACAGGATGCTCCTCACCACAATTACACTCAAAAGGGTACTGAAAAGTGAGTTTCTCCCTCAACATTGTAATTCCTACCAGGAGGAAAAACAAAAAAAGGGGGGAATTTCTTTCAGTTCAAAATTTCTTTCAGTTCCCCACAGAAAGGGACATTTTTCAGTTCCCCACACAACCATCCAAAAACAACTCAAGAACAGCAGGGGTAGTTTATGTCAACCAGAATTCAGTAATTCAACCGAAGTCCATAAACAATAAAACAAACATAAAAAACCAATATATTCTCAATAAAGTATAACCTTCTAGCATATTATGGTATAGTATCTTACCAGCATCGTACAGTATAATTTTCTCTTAGTATCTCACGCAGACAGGGTTGTTAGCAAAGACTGAAATGCCCGTGTTCTCTGTGCCTGAATTGACTGGCTCCAAAGCAGCACTCCCAACACTATTTGGACAATTTCGTTTTTTACTGTAATTAATTGCAACCAAACTTTTAAATCGTCCAACGTATCACTACCAAGCCAGGCATTTCTGCAAGATGTACTACTAAGCCTTTTAAAGCAGCACATCTCTGAACACAAATTATGAATTATGAGGCCACTGTTCTCGTACAAAAATCCTCAAATGCATAAACAATTACCTTGTGATTTAAAGACAACTTAAAGCTATTCTCAGTTTGAAAAGAGTTTGAAAGAATTATCTTTTATAAGAATGGTTTGTAATTGTTTTAATTGGACGCTACTGTTGTGCTATTTAGAACTGTTTGTCTGTGCTTTTTAAAAATATTTGTGCAAAAAAATCTGAACACAGCTTTGCTTAAGAAGGGAGTTTACAGCTCAGTGATGAAGACAAGCACACAAAAAAATATATCTGCAGAATTTAACACTTCCAGGAAAATGACCTGGAAAGAGTCTGTACACAACTACGAATGACAGTGCTTTTCCTTTGTGTAGAAAAGCAAACTATGTGAGGCACAACGGACAAATGGGAAAGAATTCTTTTTATAGTATCTTTGTGAGAGGTGAAAACTGTTTATTCAGAAAGGAAGCATTCAAAACATATACATAAGCAATGTACAGAAACTAACCAGCAGTTTTGTCAGTTTCCCATTTTTTCATTATGTTAGCTGCTTTCTGACTCCATTCCCACTGAATAGAAAATACACAGAAGGCTCCTATGAAGTGGGATAAAAAGTGAATGGAGCATTTACAGAACAGAGCCATAGAATGGCTTGGGTTGGAAAGGATCTTAAAGGACACCTTCCACTAGACCAAGTTGCTCAGAGCACCATCCAGCCTGGCCGTGAAGATTTCCAGAGATGGGGAATCGACCAAATCTCTGGGTAACCTGTTCACGTGTCCAACCACTCCCATTGCAGAAACTTTGTCATGGCCAATCTATACCTGCTCTCTTTCAGCTTAAAACCTTGTTCTGTCACTACAGGCTCTGCTAAGAAGTCTCTCTGCTTTTCTTATGAGACTTCTTTATATACTGACAGACCACAATGAGATCTCCCCAGAGTCTTGTTCTTTTCCAAGCTGAACAACAATAGTAGTCCCTGTGTATGCAATTTACATGCAGCTATGTAACTTAACACAAGCTGCTATTTGAAAATTACTTCTCTAAAAGCATAAAGAATAGTTTCAGAAATTGAGCTCTTCAAGAAAAGCGTGTTGTGTCTTTTGTTCCAAAATCTACTTTTTCTATCCCCAAAAGAATCAGCCATTTTGGATACCTTCAGTTGTAAAAGCAGAACAATTCTTGAATATTTTTAGTGAAACCACAAAATATGTATAGTGCAAAATGTATTTATAAATTCCATCACAAAACATGAAGCATATTTCACAGAGATGGAAACTAGAGATCTTTGTCGAGTACTGCTCTGCAAAACATGAAGAACAAAAACCACTCCAGGTTATAGTCTTTTTCCTATCTCCAACATGTGGCAAGAAATCCTATTGTGCAGGAAGTGATGAAATCATTAACTGAAAGTCTAAAAGGACACATTCAACAATAGCAAGAAAACACGCAAAACCATTTCAGATGTTATTTTGCAACACAATCTACAATATGTTTCAGTGAAAGGATATCTTGCAGGACTGTCCTTCAGAGCATTGAGGAACCCTGTTTGTTGAGAACCTGTAGAAACAGAACCCAAAATTACCAGCCAAGTAAGAAACTGGACTATGGGCTGTTTTTACTATAGTTAAAACAATTAGCATTTGAAGATAACCAAGTAGAATAGATTTACTACTATGAATCTGAGAACATGTTGCTCAGCAGCAACAACATCAAAAAAGCTCTTGAGCAACTTATCAGGTTTAGCATCTGCAGGATATTTTCTCAACTCATACCAAATTGATGCACACATACTTTCCCATGAACAAGATTCGTGATTACCCCTGCTCTTTTCAGGCCTAATATGGAAAGAAAAAATTATAAAGTCCTGTTTAATTTTGAAATACTATTTTTCAAACTTTTTGACTTGGAAAATTTATTCTATAAACTCAGATTCCCAACTTTCCATCCTTTGTTTTGGAAGCAAATCTCTCTTATTTATAATTCTGTTCCTACTGCACCTACACAAATTTTTCTAATACGTTACTGTTGCTTTTGGGCAAATAAAAGACAATCTAGTAGCTGAAAAGAGCTCAAAAGAAGCATGAGCCCATCAACTAGAAACGCAGAAGCACGCAAAGTGAAAAAGCACTTGGGTTCCATAAACATGAGATATTAATCAAAATGGGTGATCTGACAATTTGCTGATTGCAACAAGTGAATTTGTTGTAGCTGACTTAATGGGACATAGCTACAGGCACACAGTTTGAACTTTCCTGTATAACATAAATAATTTAAATGCTGAAAGTTTTCCCCACAGCAAAAATTTTCCACTTAACTAAATTCATCCAAAGATCTGTATGGAGAGAAGAATCTTGTCTTGACAAGAATAAAGAAACATATGTGTAATTCTCTAGAATTATCTGGTCAATTTTACTGTTTATTGTTACAAGTGGGAAGTTACTTACCTTGTATTTCCAAGCCTTTTCAGACTCTTACAATTGGTTCTTAGTCTCAAGGTACAAGACTAATGGAACTTTCCCTGCCTTCTTACTATTTTTAGCATCCTTAATGGCAATGGCAGCAGATAGGTGTGATTTCTACACTCTACTGCTGGTCACAGTCCTCCAAGCAGCACCCAAACATCAGAAGGAGAAGGTTGTTCATTGCAATATACAGGTGAAATAGTGATGCCTCAAACAGAGGCAAGTAACTGTAAACACAGATACTACTACTGGAAATGTGTTCAATTTGGGGAGAGGGAAGAAAATCTTGCAAGACAGTACCTCTACTATAACTGATTTATAAACTAGTTTTATTATCTTCAATAATGTTATGTGCACATATTCTTAAACCTAGAAAGAACGAATTTCCACTGTATGCCTCAGAAGGCCACAGAAAACAAACAAAAAATATATCTTACATCTCATCACCACTTAGGCCCACCAAAATTTATAAAATGCCATCTTGCAAGATATGTTATAAAAATATGCAAACTTTAAAAAAATTGTCCAAATCAAGAGGCATTAAAATAAAATAATTTTTCCGGAACTTATGCAGAACTTTGAAATATTGCAGGAAGGTCATAGTCTGAGGACTAAAAACTGAGACTTCCTTCAGCCACGCTAACAAAAAGCAGTCTAGGCCAAGAGCAAAGGTTCTGATGAAGTAACTGAGAATCCTGCTTGTTAGCATCAGCTAAAGAACTGAAGAGCTACAAAACAGAACACAAATTGTTGATTGGTAATTATTAGAAAAGTAGACAGGAGGACTTCTAGAGGTATGGTAGGCACAAAGAGAGTGAAGTGATAAGAAAACGTTATTCGTAAAGAACTCTTTTTTGGACACTGTCAAGACTGTAGCAGACAAATTTGAAAGTGGGGCTTGAAGATCCAGTGTATCAATTAAATATCAAGGAATTAATCACATTTCATACCTGCTCCCATTGCCTTTGAGGACTGACCAATCTTTAGAGCTTAAGGATATTTTTTCTTGTCTCGTTCTAGGTAGATGAACCTCCATGGCAAGAATATTTTGCAGCTGATAGGCAATTTAGCATTTAACATTTACTATATGTAATCTGTAACACCTACACAATGCTTAAGTGCTTCTCAACCACACAGGCACAACTAATTACTCTGCTCTTTGTCTAAATCAGACTCAAGAGTTAGGTATGGACACTGTAAATTTAAAATCCACTAGATAAACCTACTTAACATACAAAACATGAAATACTGACATTATATTAATAACTCATATACAGAAAACTAAAGAAAAAGCACTGAAGTCCCTGTGAAACAAAAGTAGGGTAGTGTCAAAAATAGTTTTACGTTGTCAGACTAGGAATGTTTTCAACTAATGAACAGTCGCGAAGATTTCAGAAAAAAAAAAGTGTCTTTCTTATAAAATGTAGAAGGTGTGTATGTACATGCTCATGTATGCCCAGATAAATAACAAGCACTTAAGTATTAATGGCAAGTGTTCTTTATCTAATAATTTTCCTTTTTGAAACAATATATACATTTTATCTCTACTTGTTTCAACTGGTATTGGAAAATGCTGCATCTGGTAGTGTGAACAACTGTTCATTCAGACTCCCTCAAAATTACATATCCCAGTTCTAACCTATAAAGTAGATGTCTGAGCTATAGGAGAGCCTCTCAGTGTTTGCATCACAGTTTTGCAAAGAATGAGTAAGAGCACGAATTCTGTTCTTTAAAATACAACTTTTCTCTGCATGTTGTAAACAATTCCAGAACTGAGCACAATTTGACATGTTTTTTTTTCCAGTAACACATTCTCTGAATATTATCATTATCAAGTTAGCTTTACAAATGTGTCATATACTGAAATTTTTATTTCTATCAGGTTTCTGTTGCAATACAGAATACAAAGGAATAAGCAGATCACATTTCCGAAGTGGTTAAAGAAACACTCTTTAAGGCAATATCCTATATAATTAATGAAAAATATAGAATGCTCTTCTAGCAATAGTGGGTTAAAAAACCCCAACATACAAAAGGTGTTTAAAGTCATGTAACATGTCACCATAAATGTCACCATCATCATCCATACAGGAGCCAGCAAAATTAGTTAGGGGTACGGAAAAATGACAGTACCCAAAGGAGTTTTGACCTCAAACACAACCCGGAACACAAAAATCAGTCTCAAACTCATTAATATTTCTGATTGACTCTGTTATGAATTGGTTATTCTCTGAATGTCTATGCAAATGAAAATAATGTGTTAAAAATAGGGTTGAGAATGGTGTAAAGCTAAACAGCAAACTACAAAAAGTATAGCTCCAATCAATTTTCTAGCAATTTACCTCTTTGTCTGGATGGCAAGTGACCCATGCTTACAGTTAAAAAAGCACATGGAAGCTCTTCAGGTAAATGATATTAGCAGTATACTTAAACATACAGTGTATGTGATGCTTTTCCAATGAATCATCCATAAAAGGACAAAAAAATAAAAAAAATAAATTAGGAGTGCATTAAGGTAAGGGCAGGGCCAGGCCAATGACTACTATGAGCAGTGCCTACTATAAATCAGAATGGGACTCATTGGGGATTGTGAAGTTTCAGAGAAAAGGCAAATAAACAAATAAATAAATAAATAAACCCTGAATGATCAAAATATTAACTTAAAAAACTCAAGCAAATGGCTACATACGTAATCTGATTTCACCAGCATACTTACGAAGGATGACGTGGGTGATAACGAATGCAAATATAAAGACTGTCAGAAAGGACAGAGATAAAATAAACATATAAAAAAATCTGTAGTTTCTTTTCCCCACACAGTTGCCTACCCAGGGACAGTGGTGATCAAACCGTTCTGAAATGAGAGGCAGAAGAAAAAAAAATGGAAAACAATTAATAAAATGCTGTTTATTCGAAAAAATGCTCTCTGAATACTATATTAAAATTCATGATTTAACTGGCATTTGCAAAATAGCCACAGAGAAGTTCTTATTTAGAAAGCAACAAAAAACAGAAAAGAAAAAAAAGGAGTACTTTAATGAAACCTTACAATTTTTAAAGAAATCAAAGTATGGCTGAGGTGAGTTCCTGGTAAACTAACAGCCTTATTGTGACAAATTGTGCAGTTAGACCAGCAAGCATGTATTTATCCACTGTCACATGGAGCATCAGAAACTCAGTTGTATCTGACTTTTTAAAAACAAGGTGTTTTAAGTGTTCAGTGCATCTTCTACTCAATGTTGGAATTTCTGAGGTTCTTTCCTTTACATCTGTCATGATCACACCTCTGACTGATGCCTACTATCATATCATCCATCCATTATGGAGCATGAAATATTCACAGCTTCCCTCTTCCTTCTATTGCTTTGCTCAAGATATTCTTCATTCTAGACCACCAATTTTTCCACTTGGAGTTGACACTGTCATACAAGATCATTAAAAATAGCAAAACCATTCACATAAAACATTTTTCAAATGTTTAAATTTAAATTTATCATATAAAAATGGGTAATCTGCATGATCTGTTACCCTTTGCACTACAGGCTCTGTCTCATTTTTACTAAGTGAAACCCTTTCTCTTTACATTCCAGAGAGGACTCGTTCATGAGATAGGAAAAGTCCAAGGTGGACCAGAAACAAGTGTCCCCATCATGGGGGAAATGCCTCAGTGCTGGAAAGCAGCAGAGGGAATGGTTTATTCTGCTTCTCCCCAGGCAGCCTGAATCCATCCTCCATGTCCCAGTATGCTGGGTAATGGAAACAAAGCTATTGCCAGGAAACAAACTTGCATTTCCTAACTTTACTTTGGAGAGATTACATTGACAGAATTTTAAGGTTTTCTAAATCAAATCCAAGACTGTAAGACAGATGCATTCATGCTGCATCTTTCTTTCACTCTCTGATCCTTGTCCAAATCCTGGTTTGTTTTCTCTGATTTTTATGCCTCCACTGACGTACTACCAAACTATTTGTAATTCCACAGGAAAGGCAGACTATAAATCCGAAGTCCTTTAAGCCCTGTGTCAGAAAGGTAAATCTGACCAAGTAAACCAGCTTATTTTAGTTATGGATTTATGTTAAAGGCCTACATTAGAGGTTTTTCTTGAAGGAAGTATTTAGTATATCTTCATTTAAAAAAAGTCAAAGCAACATGCAAAACAGATTTCTGAGTCCACCAGACTTTCAGGTTGTTTTTTTTAAAAATAGTTCTGCATGACAGCTGTTTGGACCACATGTTTCTGCCATAAATCTGTTTCAAATTCCAACAGGGCTATTCAAGGTGAAGTCACTGAATCTCCATAGGATAAGGCTTCAGAATACTTTGAGTGAGCACTGCTAAGAATGCCCAGAAATAAACACTCTGGGTAGGTGATACTACCATTTCTCAGTGCACTACAGTTGTATTCCCGAAATAATTGATATTGCATTTTAAAAGTGCCTGCCTTCAAATCCGTGCTTCTGAATGAGCCCTCATATTCTGATAAACACTCTACTTCATTTAAATTCATTCATATATACAACTCATAAGCAAACAACACCACAAAGGAACACAGCTACAGAGCCATTTTAAAAAGCAGAATCCTAGGGTATTTTTGTATCCTACTGCTAATAAAATACATTACGTGTCTTGAAATATGAATTCCATATACACAGATTCATTCTCTTCTATGCTGACATAGTAAAAAATGAATGATATTGACATAAAGCTGTTTCTAGCCATGAAACAACATTTAGATATATGCAGACACCTATTTGATGGATTCAGATAAATGCAGACAAACATACACACAACCCCTCTATCTATAACTCACGTTCCTATATGTACACACGCTCCTTACTGAAGACCGACTTGGTGTTTTCAACCAATTTGACAGTCCTCTTCAATTTCCATCTTCAAACTTTCCTGGAAAACTGAAAGGCTCTGCTTTCTCAATAAACACCTTACTAATCATTGTGAAACTAAGTGACTACCTAAGATATTTATAAAGGAGGAATGGACCAAAAAGGCTGGATACAAAAAGCACTACTACAGTATTAAACTGGAATCAACTGTAATGAAAAAAGGCATATTAAAAGGTTTACATGAATCTTATGATAAATAAATTTGGTGTCATTTTCTCAGTCAGACAATAGAAAGGCATGTGACAAGTGCCACAAAACAGTATATTAAAAGGTAAGGCATTATTCTACTCAGCAAAATACAAATATGTACATGCAATTTAAAGATAACAGCTTTAGAGCTTGTGAGCTGCTCTGCTTAGTTATTAATGTAGCAGAAAACTTCCAACCCTGGGAAAATGAAGACACAAATGCCAAGCAGAAACTTCTAATGCTGTTGAGAAATATAAAATCTAGTAAATCTAGAGCTGTTTCTTCTTTCTTAGAAAAACACATGACCTAATAAGTATTAATGAAGAAGTAACACAGCATCTTAAGGTTCACCTCCAGCATTCCAGATGCCTGCCAAAGATGTTGTAAAGGAAGCTCTATCTGACATCTCCACTTGGACAATGTTGGCAGCAGAATTAAGACAACTTCATTGAGAAATGAAAAACCACTGATGCTGAGAAAAACTGGAACTCCAGTCCTCGTGAACTTAAAATGCAGAGGAAATAGAAATGCAATTTCTTGTTGTGAAGAACAGACTGTTAAGAAGTGACGACTGCAGTTCTGGATAGTTAACATACTACTGTATTCAAACAAACATTTGTGGGAAGGTTAATGTAAAAATATTTGAGGCAAACACAGACAATTAAAACATTGGTAACATAAACTCTTGTTAATATAAGCGTATTAGAATTTGTAAGTAGAGAAGAAGAAAGCTTAAGCACTCTATGGATAGAAACATTGCGATACATCATCCTCCTAAACTCAAGTTCAAACAAAAGCACATATTTGCCTTCTTGATGTTACAGCTGTATCTATCTAATCAAGAACTACTGATAGAACAAATGGCCCAGTTTCCTCAATTTCAGCAATTCTGTTAAGTCTTTTGTCTGTATGCTCATGGCTCTCCATTCTTAGTCCCGAGCCTAAGTGTTCATTTTACCTTGCAGGCAGCAGGTTGACAGAGCCAGATGAACCTCAAACTATGGCTTTCTTTTGCCTATCTCGTCAGATCACATCATCAGACAAACACCAAAGCTGGCCTAAGTGAAGCACTGAAAACATACTGCCAGAGAAGGGATGAAGTAACACCTTCAGAAGCAGCTAAGTGTTAATTCAGCCTAGCTGTGACACCAACCTTACTACAGATTAGCAGTTAACGCAACTGCAGGAGAAATCCAGTTTTGATTAATTTTTCAGGATCTGAGATCAAAACCTGAAGCAAATAAAAAAACCTGAAAAAATGTGTGAAGAGTTTATAAGGTGAAGCATCAATAAAAAGAGGCGACGAGTAAATGGAGACTATAAATGTTGCTGTACAAGTCACAGAAAACCAAAGAGGTAAGAAATTTCAGGAATTGTCAGTAACAGTAACAAAGACTTTTATGTTACTCTTTCCCAAATGATCAGCATCTTTGAATTGAAATAATAACTTCTGAGGATAGCCAGTACCCCCATAACTAAATCCAAAGGATGAGGCTTCACAAGATAATTGAGGCAATCTAAAACCTTAGTAGCAGTGAAAGAGATGGTCACATGCTGCCTTTCCTGCCACTTCCTCCCACTTCCTTCTTTCCTTGTGTAAGCTGATGATGAATCAGGTCAGTTCCCTGGACTGGCAGGAAAGGGGAAAAAAAAGGAATTATTTTGCTCATTGACGAGTGGGAAAAACTGACTTACCAATGCCTGTGTGGTACCAAATTTGTGAAAACACACAAAGAAGAGTATCACAGAAATAAGGAAAAAAAATAGAAGAGGATGACATTCAAATCCCTTTGGAAGCAGCAAGCTGTCAGCATGACTCAGTGGTCTCATTAACACTCACCCAAGTGGTCTGATTAACGCTCACCTAATAATCTATGCTAACTGGATGACAGAAGAACACTATACTTCATACTTTAGAAATTCCTCATTTTTTACCTTCCCTGAAACATTTGTATTTAAAACTTGCATAAGAAACATTAACTGTTGGATGTCTCAGATGAAAACAAAACTGAGAACATTTCCCATTTTACTGAGCAATGGTCTTACACATGCAGTGCTTCCTTCAGAAGCCACACCGAAGCATGCTCCTTGCTGCTCAGAACCAAAGAGTGAAATCTCTACTTTTCCACAGCACAGCATGTAGACTCCTAAATACTTAAATGTTCTGCTTCCATTTTTCAATTGCTACACTCCAGGAAACCATGCAAAAAATGACCCAGATGCTTTTCTTCCCTGTTCAAAACATCTAATGAAAGCCTAATAATTTACAAGGAATGCAAAAGTATTTCTAAATGGAACATTTGTAGACCAGCTTGGCCCTTCAGTTTGCAGTATTTATGAGCTGTTTCCTTTTTTCTTTGCTCAACTGAATCACTGCACACCAGCATACATTTTCTAAAGCTCAGTGTGAAGGTAGGACTCAAAGACAAGAAGTCGACAGGTGCAAAAATATCTAGGTCATGTTACTAGGAGATTCCAGTGAACACAAGTTTGAATTCACTTGGTAATTTTTCCACCCTGTGCAAGCATAGCATTGTAGGGCAAAGGCACAAACCTAAGCCATTCCCTGAATGTTACCATCTTTATTTACATAAGCAAACATGTATCCCATGACTGGAAAGAGTCAAGAGCCCACTATACAAATCCTGCATCAGTAAGAGGTCACATTACAGCTCAACCAACTGGACCAGGATTACTCAAAATTACTTTTGATAGTAGCAGTAGTACAAAACAGGACTACAATGTCCATTGTCAAGGACTCAC